TTCTTTTTGGTTTACTTTGCTGGGGTTCCAACTGCAGTTTGCATGCGCGGTCTTGCCTTTATAACCCACTACTGCGGGCTAGGATCAGGTGACTACCCCTTAGTCATGTTACTAAGTGAATCCTAGCCCTTCCACCTCATTAAAATCCAATGGATCAGATTAATCCATTTTAATGAAGGACAATGTAGTAATTACACAAATTATTTATTTGATAATTAAAATAATACAAACGGAGAGTGGGTGATTTTGAGGGAAAGAGAATTTTCCCACGTACAGAGAGAGAGAAAGAGACCAGTGGGTGTTTTTGTGAGAAAGAGAATTTTCCCAGGGGGAATTATCCCACGTAACAGAGAGAGAGAGAGTTTTCCGGCGACCGAAGGAAATTTCCCGACAACAGTGTTGGATTTGTGATATTTCCTGACCTATTTTGTAATATTTGTATAGATTCAGTTTGTATTGTTTCTCATTTTTAGTGACATATTGTACGGTTAGTATGTTTTGTACGTTTGTCGGTTTATTGTGTAATGTTTGTACGCTTTGTTATTTTGTAATGTTTGTCGGGTTTTTTATTTTTATTTTGTAATGTTTGTAAACTTTGTTATTTTTGTGCACCATGTTTATCATTTTTGTCAACCATGTTTGTAATGTTTTTTATGTCTAAAAAACAACCTGGTTGACTTTTGGATGGAACTCCTCTATATAGGGATGGAGCCTCCAAAGTCAACCCGGGTGTTTTTTCCAGTTCGTATGGATTGTCGGTCTAGTTTGTCATTTTTTTCCACCATGCTCGTAATAATTGTATGTCTAAAAAATAAACTGGTTGACTTTGAGACGGAGCCCTCTATATAGGGATGAAGCCTCCAAAGTCAACCCGGGTGTTTTTCCAATTTGTATGAATTTTTGGTCTAGTTTGTCATTTTTGTCCACCATGTTTGTATGACTAAAAAACACTCAGGTTGACTTTGGGAAGGAGCCCCTCTATATAGGGATGGAGCCTCCAAAGCCAACTTTGTTGTTTTTTTCTTTTTGTATGGTTTGTATTGTTTGTCGGTCTAGTTTGTATTTTTTGTACAGTTCATATGTTTGTAATGTTTGTAAATCTGTTTGTATGTTTTGTCGCTCTAGTTTGTACTGTTCGTATGTTAGTATGGTTTGTACTGATTGTAAGTCTGGTTAGTATACTTCGTAATTTTCCATAATACCCAAACTACTCTTGTCATTAATTAAATAGTCCTTCCCACTTTTTAACCATCAGATTGCTATATCCAGATCTAAGGGCTGGGAGAGACTTAGTCAAGTGACTAAGCACCCCCCCTAGTCACTGGATCCTCACTCCCACTAACACTCTTTGAAAATAATCAATATAGTATCTAGTGATTTTTTAGTAGTAAAGAAATGCCCCCAACTACTTAGTACATAAAAATTATGGACTAAGTAGTTTGACATCAACTATACCACTTAAATACCCTCGTTGGCTTTAATAATAAAATCTAAACACAATCAAACACAATCAAAAGTCAAAACACCTCCACACCTTATGCAATGGTAGCTACCGTTGGCCTTGCAAATCACTAGCCAAAACTAATCATCTCCTCCACGTTGTTGCCGTTCGGGATTCAAGAGGTATAAATATTTTTTTTATGGTAATCTCCCATTCCCTCAAGCACCATGCGAGCTAGTAGCCACCATGGTGCATCATTTTATTCCCCTTGGTCGATTTTGGCTCCCAATACCACGCCACACACAACCATCAACCTTTCGTTGACTGCTAGTCTGCTAGGCCATGATAAAGCAGACAAAACCTAAATAATCCAATGTCCCTCTATGTACGGCCAAGGACCGGGGTGGAAGGAAAAATATAAAAAAAAAGTTTAATCTTTCCTTCACTAGCCAAATCCAAAGCTTCTATTGCCCACCAGCGTGACTCCCCTTCTTGTGCCTGACTAGAGTAAGCTAGAGGAGTCAAACACATCTTATCCTCCTCTAACTTTTATTTCCTTGCCATGTTTGGTTAGGATTCTAAAGAAAACAAAATTCAAATAAAAAAGGAAATCGTGAGCTAAAAGCTCATCATAATAACATTGCATCCTTTTAATTGCTTCCTTAACATGTTTGGTTAGGATTCTTGTTTCCTTCTCCTTGTGAGACTCGTATGTCAAGTCCTCCAAGTATCTCGCCATCCAAATGCAACCAAGACAACTACGAAGTTATTAGAAACTCTTATAGAGTTGCATGTGTGTGGCTGCCACCTACTAGTTCCCCATGTCGAGGTATTTATTTTCATTGCCTTAGTAATAAATTTCTTCTATTGTTAGATAGGGTGTGATACCAACCTATTTGGCCTCACCTCCTCCAACTATCAATACCATACTACCAACCCAACATGTCCTTTGTGTCATTGCTAGCTATGCAAGCCCTGTCCACCAAGAGGGTGACATGCCATGCCTAAGGGTGAGGAAGGCTTGGCATGTCGACCATGAGGTTGGCCGGTTAGCTTTGAACTCGTCGACACCCATTGTCCCAAAGAAAAAGGACATAAGGCTTGTTTTCATTGATCAATATATCATGTAGCACCTCATCCCCTTTTAACAAGTAGGTATCCTTGGACGGGTAGCGTGGGAGGTAAGCGATTCATGACGGGCATCCAGTCAGCTACTCATGCCATGAAGTGGCATGATGTACCCACCAATCAAACGAGCATAAGAGACTCCATAGACCTAGCCACATGACTCGTTGATTACAAGTCGTGGTAAGGTCCTCACATCGCAAGTATTACAACTCTGACTTTTTTTTTACCCATGATTGGCTTGTGAATTTTTTCTTCTCTTATTTTACTAGTATTTTTTCTTCTCTTATTTTAATATAATAAGGAGTGACATACATCACTTATCTCCTTACCCTTTGACAACCACCAATGCGCCAAAGGTGTACATCCACTGCCTAGTCCATAGAATCAAACCATACCAACCATCCATACACTACATGCCTTTCCTTCTTAAGGGGAGACCACTCCTTTTGTGTTGGTTTACACTCTTCCAACCTAACAGATGGTACTCGATCAACCAGTCTTGTCTTTGTGGGCTTGCAAGGGGTCTCATGCATTCCTTCTCGAGCTACCTTACTAGACATGTTGAGGTTTTGACATTGCCTGTGCGATGTTTGCCTCATTTTAGGTGGTACAGTAGACATTATCAACTCCTTTTACCCATCAAAGGGGCCACAAGTTATTCACTGCCTTAGCTTCCCCCAACTTGACATATGCTTACTCTCCCCACATGGTTGGGAAGACGAGTGTTTGGGCTTAACAAGTTGATGACCACTCTTGTGGCCAACTTGACTTTCAACCCACATACATCATTGGTTTTTACACTTAACACATAATCACACTTGGTCCACTGTGTGACCATGCTTGGTCGGTCTTTGTCGAAATGTCTTATGCAAGCCCCCTTGTTTGCCATTCATATTTGGCATGCCATTAGGGATATTATGCATAGACTTACTTCTTTGTCCATCCCTTAACACCCTCTCATATTTAGAAATTTTTTGAGTGGTTTGGGTGTGATGAACACTTCTAGATGTTCCCTCCACTCCATTCTTCACATTGGATGGCATGCCCCATGTCTATTACACGTAATTGGAGATATGTCCCTCGTACTACTTGTCATGGTTATTGAAATGCCCCCCTTGCCACAAATTGCTACATCATTATGCTCACTAGAAACATGTGTGGGTTGTGCTTGTTGGGCCTTCTTGGGTACGTCTATCTTCCCACTGATTGTGGTTGATGACATGCCCCCTTGCCGTACTTAGCTACACTATCATGCTTACTACAAGCATGTGTGGTTCGGGGTTTGTTATGGCTTCTTGAGCACGTCTATCTGTCCACTGTTTGTGGTTAATGACATGCCCCCATGTCGACCATTCATGGTTGGCATGTTATGAGGGACCTTAGCCACGAACTTGCCTCCTTGTACACTCTTTGACACACTCTCAAAGTTATTGAAATCATGGTGGCATGGGTATGCAACACCTGCTTAGACTTGCCACTCACTTCATTCTTCACGTTTGATGACATGCCCCCTGCCCACTACATGAAGCTGGAGATATGCCCTTCTTACCACACTTATTTGAAAAACATAGTGAGTCCTTAGGCACACTTCTTTTCAATTTTCTTGACATCAACGTGCACCCCAGCCTGACATTTCACCTTCAACTTGTCAGGTGGCAGGCTTTCATACCACCCTTGCTGCCCCCTGACAATTCGCATTCACCAGGCTTGATGGGCATGGATGGAAGTGGTGTTGGGCAAGTTTGTGGGAACACATTTGTAGTGAGTGGCCCTCCACCAACTTTCACATTCAGGTGTGGTCTATCCTCTGAGAAAGTTTCTAAAGTAACTGTTTCTGTTAGTATAGGCAATTTCTTTATGTGAGTGGTGAACGTGAGAGCAAGATTCTTGCCACAACCACCGCGTTGAAGAGGTGGTTGACTTGTCACCGGAGACGATGAGTTCTCTGACCGTGGCTGAGTAGTGTGGCCACCAGAGTCTAGAATGCTCGTATCCCTAATTGCAATGCTTGATGGTGGATCTACACCATCTTCTACAAAACCTTTGATCTCAATACTGGTTTCATCAAAAGTTGGCGAAACTCCTTAAATTGTTTTCATTTATCTCACAAATCTCATCCAATTGATCCAAATGTCGATTTCGGTGAGTATGGAAACAATCAAGTTGTGATACTATTTCTTTTGTGTATCCCACCATAGCCTTCTTCATTAATTGTACTTCTACCACAAGTGACTGATGGAGAGACAAGGTGGTGGCGATTACACCCAAATATGGCACCTATGATGGTTGGCCTCTTGTCTCACCGGTAATTATCATAAATGGTCATAAAACTATTTACTTTGTACAAAACGGTCACAAATCTTTAATTTTGCACATTTCAGTAATAAATGTTTGGACTAATAACAAAAAGGTAATTCTGTCCATCTCCATCCAAAATTCTGTTAGTTTAGTCTAATCAATTGTCCCGTCAGCATCCCCATCATCAAAAATAATTATAACATAAAAATCAATTGAAACCTAACCAGCCCCACCATCCTAATCAAACCAAACCCATATATCTCCGCTCCTGTTTCTAATTGTCTCCACAGATTCAACTATTCTCTGACTTTCTCTTTCACCTCCTCGCCACCGCTCCCATGTTCTCCTCTTCCTTGACTCCATTTTCCCCTTCCCCTATCAGTTTCTTCAGAAAATTGCTTCTACTTTCCAGTGAATTAGATGGGGCTGTTCACCTTCCTTTCGTCAGCTTTCTCTATTCTCCTGCCCTGTTTCTTTGTTTCCTTTGCTTCACACCCACAAAAGAAGAGAGGGACGGTGAAAGCTCTAGCTTTACCAATCTTTTTTCATTAAAGAAATATATCACATTGCCAAAATCCACGCCAATATTAGCTTCCAAATTCTCACCTAATGAGCAAAAACGAATCCTTGCCAAAACCTCTTTTTTATGTCCCTGCCTCAATGGTGGACGAAAAACTAAAGAACTGGGAAATTGCTCTCGGCAAACGGTAGTAAAAAGAGGTGAGCAGAGATCCACGGCCTCCAGATCGCAATCGACGACCGCCACACAATCACGAACTGAAACAGAACTAAAATAGAATAGAAGAACAATCATCCGAGAAGAAAAGATGGAACCAAGAGGGAGCCAGCGGGTACGTGAAAGAGTAAGGCCGAGAGAGGAGTCGGAAAGCTAGACGGAGAGGAATACGGAGGCGGAAGAAGGTCAAACGAGCCGGCAGCGCGCGGAGGGAGGTTTTTCTGGGAGTGGAGAGGCGGGCGGGGAGGAATAGAGAGAAGCAATGGTGATTCGATGCTGGAGAGTGAGGAGATAGAGAGGAATAGATTGGGTTGGATTGGGGTGGTGGGCTGGTTAGGGTTAAATAGTTTTTAATTTATTTTTATTAATTATTTTTTATGATGTGGATGCTGATAGGAAGTCTGATTAGACCAAACTAACAGAATTTAGGATGGAGATGGATGGAATTGTATTTTTTTTATTAGTCCAAACAATTGTTACTGAAATGCGCAAAATTAAAGGCTTGTGACCGTTTTGTACAAAGTGAATAGTTTTCTGACCATTTATGATAATTACCCCTTGTCTCACCATTTTTTCACCACTTTTTGCTAATTGGACAAGATCATACATTGCCACTAGCTCCTTTATAAACCCACGTGAAAGATCACTTTCTTGTTCTCTCACTCGTGGAGCCATCAAATCAAACACACAGGGTCCCACCATGTGTGCCAATTTGTTTTCCGGCGAGAAAAACTCTGGTGTTTGATATTAATGATTTACACCTTTGACTTCTTGAACAACGCTTAATAACACGATTCACACCTATCCGACAATGTTCGAACAAGGGTGTTTGATGTTATTTATGGCTGAGAAAACTAAGTTAAATTACTCCTACTCCTATGAAGGTTCAGTGAGTGCTCCGAATACTAAATGGTACTACTAATTTGCAGAGAAAGGATAAATTTTGACATTGTGCGTTAAATGTTTGGTTGTGGAACCCTTGATTCGTCTTTGTTTTTCCTATTTATAGCCATCCCTTGTAAACGCCATGTAACTGCCTATTGTAACCGTTGCCTCCCTTGCTTGGTGTTTGATTTAGCTTGCTTCACGCTTTAACTGCCTTGTGTGCTTGCCACTTGATGCCTTGCACTTTGATGACTTCACTTGATAGCTAGCCCCTTGTGCCATGGATGAGTCTTGCTTGGTGAATGAGGGTTTCACGCTTGGTGGTACTCATGCTGACCACCTCGGCATGACATCATACTTGGCGCTATGGTTCTTGGGGGTTGATGGATGCTCACTGACCCCCTTGGTAGCATCATGCTTGTAAGGTCTTGACAAGGCGATCTACCATGAGATGATGTACATGGATGACACTTAGAAACTTGATGACCTTGTGTACTAGGTACCATGCATGACTACTCATGAAGCCTAGCATGCCCGATTACTGGGGATGAGGGTGCGTTGTGTCGTTGGCAGACCACAATGATTTTCTGCCATGACTTTATACCAGGTTGTAATGTGCTTGATCTCAATTTTAATCTAAAATTTTCTTTTGTAGAAAAAAAAAATTAATGTATCGCCAACATTTTTTTTTTTTTTGCTGAGAAGTAGGCATAAAGCCGAAGAAACAGAAGCAAATTACAGGGTAGGAGTAGAAGAAGAGGATGAGGCTACAACATTTCTAGGAAGGGTGATACCTCGGACGTCATCATCAAGGATCGGGTAGAGACCTGTGGGCGGATTCGACAACTCATACATACCGTAGGGATAGACGAGACTGTGCTTCGAGAGGCAGTCCGTGACTCTATTCCCTTCCCGATATGTATGAGTTATTCGAACCACCCAATCCTGCGTCATCTTGTGTCGAATTGCCGTAAGGAGGGTTGCATATGGATGGAGTGGATCATCCCTATTGTGCACAAGATCAATCGCAAGCTTTGAATCCAACTCCAAAAGGAGAGTCCTACATCCCTGTTCCCAAGCTATATTAAGTCCATGATACAGCTCCCAAAGCTAAGCGAGGGCCGCAGAACACGAGCCAAGGTTCACGCAGAACCCCTTCACCCACCTCCCATTGCTATATCTCAGGACTCCCCCCGCTCCCGCCAAACCCGGGTTACCATTCGAGGCCCCATCCACGTTCATCTTCATCCAACCTGTAGGTGGGTATTTCCACCCAATGTCCATGAGTGTTCTTTGAGGAGTATGATTTTTGTTGGAAACTCCAATCTGGGGGGCCATCCACGCTTCATACCAAATCTTCGCCTTCACTTTAATTGCTTGGAGGAGGGAGGGTGGTGACAGGGTCTTGATGATACATTGGAAAACTCCTTCATTCCTATTCTTCCACAGGATCCACATGGTGATGCAAAAGAAGGCATTCCAAGGGACGCCCATAGTGGTCAGCTCCTCCTTCATGATATTTGAACGTAACCATTAGTCTGTATTGGCGCTGAAGAAACCGGCCTACTCCTCCATCTTCACAATGCGTGCCCAGACATAGGCTGCCGGCGGGCAGTCCCTAAGAATATGGGCGACCGTCTCTGCATGGGGAGAGCATCTATAACACCCTGCTGAGCTGGAAATATGGCGTTGCTGGCGAAGCTCATTGGTGTTGATCTTTCCCAGCACAACCAGCCACGTGAAACATCGGATCCATTCCGGAATTGGCAGGTTCCACACCTTCTTCCACAGGCTTTTATTAGTGCTTGGAGTGTCCGGCATAGCAAGATGGTAGGCACTCTTAGCCGAAAAATGCCCATTGGAAGTCGGTCGCCAGAATAACGTATCATCTTCATGTGCTAGGGGATCAATAGCGTAAGCGGTGATCTGGAGCTGAATATCCATCGGAAGAAGGTTGCTGAATTTATGTGTTAGCCATCTTCCTTCTCGTCCACATAGTCGGCTACTTTGGCTCCAAGCTCCTCCTCCGGCACTTGAGCGATCGCTATCTCCAAGAGCGGTACCTGCAGAAGCCAGATATCAGTCCAAAAAAGCACACGATTACCCTTATGAATATTCCACGCAGCACCCTGTTTACCTAGGTGAGCCGCTTTGGAAAAGCTAGCCCAAGCGATAGAACTTCCCTGACAAGGTTTAAGTATCTCCAGGTGTTGTCGTTACTTTCCATACTTGTTTTGCAGCAGTTGACACCAGAGACTTTCTTTAACTTTCATGAGCCGCCACCCGCCTTTTGCTAGCATAGCTAGATTAGTGTGTCTAGTGGACGAATCCCCAGACCTCCACAATCTTTAGGATGAAGGATTTGATGCCAAGCCACTAAGTGCATCCTCTTCTTCTCCTCCAAGTCTCCCCAGATGAAGTCCCGGTTGATTTTCTCGATGCTCCTGCAAACATTCAAAGGGAGAAGCTCTGTTTGCATAGGGTAAATCGGGATTGCCGAGGCAACCGACTTAACCACCGTGATGCGAGCAGCGAGGGAGATGTGTTTAGCTTTCCAAGGGGCAAGCTTCCGATGAATCCTCAAAATCCCCAAGTATCTTCCTAGGTCCACCGTGAGAGGGATCCCCGCTCTAGTACTCAAGGCTTGAGCTTGTCTCCGCTCCACATTAGCTGAGATGAAGATGGCTGACTTGTTGTAGTTGACTTTCTGGCCTGAGCTATAGCAGAACTCGTCAAGACATTGCTTGATGGCCCTAATCTGAGAACTTTCTGCCCCTGCAAATAAAACCAAATCATCTGCAAAGAAGAGATGTGAGAGCTAGATCAATCCTGTGGGAGAGTCTTTTCGTGCAAAGCACAAAGAGGTAAGGGGATAGAGGGTCTCCCTGTCTCACACCCCGCGTTGGGGTAATCGGGGCTGAAAGCTTTCCATTCCACAACAGCCACATATTGTTCCTCTCGACGCAGAACATGATGCAGTTAATCCATGAGCTTGGGAAGCCAATCTCTACTAAAGTATCTTTGAGGAAATCCCACCTGAGTCGGTCATAGGCTTTCTCGAGATCAATTTTAAGCACCGCTCCACCTCTTTTTCCTTTCTTTCTTCTCAAAGAGTGCAGTACTTCCTGCAGGAAAATCACATTGTCCGTAGTTTGCCTGCTGATAGCATCGTATTTGCACGTGTTTTCACTCGGATTTCTTGTCCATTTTGGCTCGAATTGATTGTTGCTTGGCCTATTTTACGCTAGGTTGTGTTGTTTTGCCATATTTCAGGTCCTAGCAAGTACAGAGGTGCATAGGCGCAAGTTTCAGGTCATTCGGAGGTCAGATGGCGAATCACAGAACGAATTACGGGCAGCCCCTGCCAAATTACGACCGTAATTGGTCAGGGCATGCCCGTAAAACAATTGCCGAGCCTTTTCCCCAGAATTTCCTCTCGGTGATAAAATTACGGGCAAGACTCCCAAGAATTACGACCGTAATTCCCAAATTACTGGCGGTAATTGTGAAATTACGGGCGTATCTTCTCCTCCTTCAGCTTAATTGAAACGTGCGTTTTGGGGCGAATTACGGGCAGGACGTGATTACGGCCGTAATTCAGCCCGTAATTCGCCCAGAGTCGGGTTTTTGAGGCCAGAATCGAGCCAAGGAAGGGGAGATCGAATTTCTTGAGCAAAAACAGAGCCCTAGAGAGAGAAAGTGCGAAGAACTCACCCTAGAAGCCATCTTGGAGCTGGGTTTCATCAAATCAAGCTTGGAGATCGTCCTAGGAGTGGAAATCATCATCCCGGAGCAGATTTTCCTCATCATTATGAGTATGACTACTCCGATTACTGTTTTCTTTTCTCTCTCTATGGAGTAGAACCTCTCTCTCACTTGGGGATGAAGAACCCTAGTTCTATGTGTTAGGGGATTGATTGTAATGACTTGGGATGATATTACTGTTTGATTTTAATCGAATGATGCATGTTTATTGAGTCAATTGAAGTCTGATCAACTTTTCCTGATTCCTGCTGCAATCTGAGATAGATAGAATCTGATTAGGTTGCTAGAGTCTCATCATTCGATAGTAGGAGACTGGTTATACGAGAGTTAGCCAGTTTACTGCTTTGTACTGGAATCTAATTCCAGTAGTGAATTTCTGTTCTTACTGCTTCAGCTTTCTATCCCGGTGAAGACTAGTCGTCTGCCGGGTAGTTAGACTGAGAGGGCTTGGTCAGCTTAAGAGATTCCAAGCTACTGTCGGATCTTCCGCAGTTTAATCAACAGTAAATCAGCCCAGGGAATTGCAATTGAACCTAACTAAGGAGCTAGGGGGATTCATTCCCGAGTGACTCTTTCCTGCTTAAGAAAACCGAATAATTTCCTGCTTTATTTCTGCTTTCAGTTTAAACAACAATCACTTACTCTAGTTGGCTAGATAACAGAGAATCACTGAGTAAGCAGTAGATCTAGACCCCGGGTTGATAATATAACTTGCCTGTTACTGCATTCCCGGTCTGCGATTACACTTGGTCGCAGATTGGTGTTGTGTTTTGGCGTGTCAAGTTTTTGGCGCCGTTGCCGGGGACCCTCTAGGTTATTGGGGAAACGTGAGAATTTGTTACTCTAGCTTTTATTTTCTGCTTTTTATTTCTTCCACCTGTGTGCCTTCACGGGTTGTTTCTGCTGATTGTGTGCAGGTAGTGCATGACCCGTAGCCAGTCGGGAGATCTACTACCACTAGACCAGGAGCTTGAACGAACCTGCAGAAACTTCAAGCGGGCTCTAAAGGCGCGACTGGCTGCGGAGGAGGCGCTATCACAGCTGCAGTTAGAGGAGGAAGAAGAAGAGATGGCTGAACCAGGGAACCATGCTGTGATCCCCGAGGAGCAGACCATGGGCTCCTACTGGACCGCTAGGGCTGCGGACATGAGGTCACCCATTCAGCACCCTCAGGTCCCAGCCAACAACTTTGAGGTGAGCACCTCCGTGATCACCATGCTGCGCGGTTCAGTAGTGTTCCGTGGTAAGGAGGGAGAGTGCCCTCGATCACATCTCAGGCGATTCCACGAGCTCATCGATGGAATCAAGATCAATGGGGTACCAACAGATGCCATCCAGCTGAGGTACTTCCCATTCACTCTGGAGGGGCAGGCCAAGGAGTGGCTAGACACTCGATCTCCGGGCTCCATCACCACGTTCGCCAACCTGGCGGACAAGTTCCTCACCCGCTACCATCCTCCATCCAAGACAGCTGACCTGCAGAAGCAAATTACACATTTTGCTCAGGATGAGGATGAGACCATCAGGGATGCATGGGAGAGGTACAACAGTCTTTTCCTCAGGTGTCCCAATCATGGTTTCAACGATGCGTTCAAGGTGGGCACCTTCTATCACGCCCTCTTCCCGGAGGACAAGCAGCTGATCGATTCGGTTTGTGGCGGGAAATGCTGACCAAAACCCCGCCACAGCTGAATCAACTCTTTGAAGAGATGGCGGAGAATGGTTATGATTGGGGCACTGCCAGGAGATCGAGGAGAGCACCAGGCCGGGGTGTGCATGCTGTGGGCACCCAGTCATCTGATTTGGTGCAGGTAGTATCGAAGCTGGTCTCAGCTATCGATCGTTCCAGGATGATTCCAGGGACTGGACAGCAGCAGGCGATGCTCTGCCAGTGGTGCGAGAGCACCCATCATATGGTGGAAGACTGCCAGGCGATGAAGGAATCGACCACGCCCCAGGAGCAGGTGAACTTCATCAACAATGTCAGGCGCAATGACCCCTACAGCAACACGTACAATGAGGGGTGGCGCCAGCATCCTAACTTCTCCTGGACTGGGCCAAATCCCAGACCACCAGCTCCACAGGGACCACCGGGCTTCCAGAGGCCACCATATCAGCCCAGACAGGGGCAATTCCAGCAGCCAGGTGCAGCCCCTGCTGCCCCAGTGCAGAATGATCAGATGGCTGAACTGCGGGACTTGGTGGGTTCTCTTGCCAGTGTTAGTGCTCAGAAATTCAACACCTTTGAGCAATTCATGGAGAAGGCCTCGGGTCAACTCCTGGCTCTGGAAGCTGGTCAGAGGAATACACGGGCTGTTTTGCAGGATATCCAGACCCAGCTGGGGAGCGTGGCCCAGGCAGTGGCTCAAAGGGCTCCTGGTACTCTACCAGGGCAGACCATCCCTCACCCGCCGACCCCGAATGAGCGCTGCAATGCCATCATGACCAGGAGTGGCAAGATGACTGTTGATCCCCCTGCTCGGGAACCGGAGAAAGAAAGCCCTGTCTTAGCGGCTCCAGCGGTTGAACAGGAAGTAGAGAAGGAAGTTGAGGTGCCTGCACCTAAACCGCAACCAGTAGTGAAGGAGTATGTCCTTAAACTCCCTTTCCCTAATCGGTTGCACAAAGACAGGCTGGAGGCAGAGTTCGAGAACTTCATGGCCATGCTTAAGAAGCTGAATGTCCAAGTGCCCTTCCTGGAGGCACTATCGCAAATGCCAAAGTATGCGAAGTTTCTGAAAGAGCTTCTCTCAAAGAAGCAGAAGCTGAGTGAGCTGGCCACGGTAGAGCTCAGCGAGGAATGCTCGGCTATTCTGCAAAACAAGCTTCCGCAGAAGAAGAAGGACCCAGGTAGTTTTACTATCCCGTGTTCTATTGATAAATTGCATGTAGAGAAGTCCTTGGCGGAGTTAGGTGCTAGTATCAATGTTATTCCATATAAATTGTTCATGAAACTAGGCCTAGGTGAACCCCGTGCTACTAGGATGACCCTTCAATTAGCTGACAGATCTGTAGTGCATCCTAGGGGTATAGTGGAAGACCTTCTGGTTAAGGTTGGCAAATTCACATATCCCGTGGATTTTGTTATCTTGGACATCAGTGAGGACACAGAAGTGCCTCTTATACTGGGAAGGCCTTTCCTGGCCACCGCCAAGGCTCTCATAGATGTGCATGATGGGACCTTAGTTTTGAGGGATGGCGAGGAGCGAATAACGTTTTCTGTTGCTGATACTATACCTGCTTCGTCACCTCTGCATGCTGTATCTCACCAGGAGCACGAGTCTGTCGTGTATCCTTCTGTGCTGCCCATTTTGCAGGAACCGCCTCCCACACCTTCGCCGCCACTCCGGACCACTCCGTCACCCAAAGAACAGATCAAGGAGGAGTGGCGGCCGAAACTGCAGGCAGCTAAGCCTGCTCGAAAGAAAGCCGGAGACCACTATGACCTGGTCCCGCCCCCTCCTTGGCCATCCGAGTATTCACTCGCTTGCATCCTACCGGATGGCCAAGTCGAGCTGGCGAATGCAGGTGGCCACATTCGTCGCGTGCATGGCCACCATTTGAAGCTGTACCTCAAGAGCGATGTGGATCCGCTCTTGAAGGCACCTGATCCTACACTTCCCTGAGCATCCATACTGGCGTCCAGTTAAAAGACGGTAAAGAAGCGCTTGTGGGGAGGCAACCCCACCTCGGTTTGCATTTCTATCCTTTTTTCCTTTTAATTTTTGTCGTTTTCGAGTCATTGAGTCTGTTTGGAGTCTTACTGGAATGTTTCTCGTGCCCCGGATGGTCCATTTTGGTCTATGTTGGTGTATTTTTTGAACCGGGGCACGATTGGGTTTGGTTGTTCGAAATTGCAGCTCAAAAACTGGAGAAAAAGGGCCCTCGGCAGTAAAATTACGGGCAAGGGGGGAATAATTACGGCCGTAATTACCATGCCCCCTGCCCGTAATTCACCCAGAACAGAAAAAAAAGCCTCGGCAGTAAAATTACGGGCAAGGGGGGAAGAATTACGGCCGTAATCCTTATTACCCCTGCCCGTAATTCGATCAGAGGGGGAATACTGCTCTCGGCAGTAAAATTACGGGCAAGGCCAGGGGTAATTACGGTCGTAATTCTGCCCGTAATTACACCCGAGACCAGTTTCAAAAGTGCTCGGCCGGGACCCTCTCTCTCCCCCCCATTTTTTTTCAGACCAAATTCCCTCTCCTCTCACCGGAAACTCGAACCACCCTCTTCTCAGGTGGTTTTCCGGCCATATCTCACTCACCGGAGGTCCAAATCAAATTCCGAGACCACCCCCATGCTCCTCTCGTCGGCGCCCACAAGTCTATACTAGTGGGGTTGAGTTTCGTGGTGGTTTGGGTCGCCGGAAAACCGCGACCCTTCGGTGTTCCTCCGGCCAAATCTCTCTCCTCCGACCTTCAATTGGAAAACCGCGACCACCACCGTGTTCCTGGTACCCGGGGCCTCATTCCCCAAAGTTTTGGGTCAGTTTGGCTCTGGTGAAGTCGCCGGCGACGACACTCCGGCGAGCTTTCCGGCGAGCTCCCCGGCGATTTTCGTGTTCTCTCGTTTTTCCCTCACCTTCCCCGCGATATCTTCTTGTACCTCCAGGTGTGCTTCTCTATTTTTACTTGTCATTTGTGGAGGATTGATATTGTGGGTTTAGTGAGGAAGTTCGGGGATTGGTTTGTGCTTTGCTTAATTCGGTAGGCCTCCTGTAGTGTTTGTTCATTCTTTGGGTGGCCTACCGAGTATATATGAGTCGTGGTTGCCCCGCTTGGAGCCTAATTTGCTGTCCGGATGTATGATCCGAGGGCTCCAAGTGCGTTTGAGTTGTGTGAATGGTGAATGTTGTTTTTCCCTTCCTGGGGCCTAGTCCACTGTCCGAACTTATGATTCGAGGGCCCCGGGTGAGGATGATTGTAACCTCACCATTGACGAATTTCCATGTATGTTGTTGGGTTTCTGCTGTTTTGTGGCTGCAGGAAGATGACAACCTACTTGGCCATGCTCGACGCCGACCAGAGGAAGATTCTGAAGGACATCCGACGCCGCAAACTAGTTAAGCACCATTACCTCGATTGGAGGGTTTTCGAGGAGCTGGGCGCTCGCGAGGCAATGGAGGCTGCCATCCGCGCTTACTCTTGGCGCCGCCTCCTCTGCCTCGCTGAGCCGACCTATCAGGAGCTTCTCTGGGAGTTCTACTCTACCTTCGAGCATTTCCAGACCCACGCGGGCTCACACGGCAACGCCATCCAGTTCCGACTCGGAGGGGAGTTTTACTCCCTGAGCTACGATGACTTTGGTCGGGCACTGGGGCTCCTTCCACCTTTCGCCTGTCACCTGGCGATCGAAGAGCCCGACAGTCCCATCTTTCGGGACCAGCAGTTCTTCGAGAGGATCTGCCTCCCGGAGTTCTCAGGCGCTGTTTTCACACCGGGCCACACCACGGCCACTCAGCTGCGCCCAGAGTGGCGCATCATCAACCAGCTGTTGGGGAAGTCTTACACCCCCAGCAAGGGCTCCACCAGTCATCTTCAGCTCCGCACCTTGCATTGCCTGCACTCCATGAGCCACGAGGTGGACAACCTCCATCTGTCCTCCCTCATCGCCAGGACTGTCGTCAGGGCTTCTCGGTGTGGTCGACCCCTGGCGTGTGGGCCGGTGGTCACTGCCCTGGCACGGTACTACAACATCGACCTCTCCAGGTTCACTCTCATCCAGGAGGCGAAGCCCTTCTCCAGGGACACCCTACGGCGCCAGCTGATACTAGAGAAGGAGGGGGACGTGACCTGGATCCGGGGCCTTCCTCGCCCTGTTCCTCGTGCACCAGCGGGTGAGGAACTCCCTGAGGCGAGTGCTGCTGCGGCCAGTCGGGCCAATCGTCGTCGGCGGAACACTCCTTCTGCGCCTGACGCCTCCACCTCTGCTGCCGGCCCATCTGCTGCCGCCCCCATCACTTACATTGCCGAGCAGCTGGCGGCCCTTTCCCGCCAGAATGAGCAGATCCTTCTTGGCCAGGAGCACCTCAACGCCCGCCTCGACCGTGAGCGCGAAGGTCGCCGCCGCATCATCTCAGCTCAGCATTACATGATGAGCTACTGGAACATGGATCCTGCTGCTGTTAGCTACCCTTGGGAGGCGTCCCCGGGGCATGAGGACAACTACCCGCCCCCGACCGGCGATGGAGGGGATGAGTACTGAGCTGGCTTTGCTAGCCCATCGAGTTGGGCTTCGCTTTTGTCTATCTTTCCAGACTTAGACTCCGTATTGTGTTTGGTTTTTATTCCTTGTTCCGTATTGTGTGGATTGTTGACTTGGAACTATGTTTTATTTCACCCCATGTGTGTGTTCTGTTGGTTCTAGCTCTGTGCCTGTCGGACTGGTCCTTGTCCAGTCCTCTGCTTTTGACTGGTCCGCCATCCAGTCAACGTTCCTGACCACTGTTTCACGGTAACATCGTTCCCCTTCCCTCGGCTCCATTGAGGACACTGTCGCATTTAAGTGTGGGGGGGTTCTTTGTATTTATTGGAACGTATATATGGGTGCTTGGAGCCTAGCCCGCTGTCCGAATCTTACGATTTGAGGGCTCCAAGTACTGCTGTTTGATCATATTGGCACTGTGTTTTGATGGATGAATTGATTGGTTTTCGGATTAATGCATGACAACTTGTTTGCGACTAGGACAACCTATGATGAGGACTGAGATGTGCAGTAGAACGATGTAGGGGTTCAGTTTTTAAACTGTGTGCTTACCAACTGTGACTTGATCTAATCACTTGTCTTGACAGTCGTTTATGCATCTAGTTCAGGGTATCAGAATGTGAGATAGAGCATATAGGTAGCCATGTGAGATTTGAGCCTGCTCGTTTCTTTCTTGTGCGATAGATCCCTCTTCCATGATGTGTAGCATTCACGTTGTCACTAGCTAGGATGATGGGGGCATAGGATTAGCCCACGACCAAATTTGACTGTCCTGATGTGTCATACCCTCTAGTCAGCCCCTTTGAGCCGTGTGTTATCCTTTCTTTTTGGTCTATAATGAAAAAATCACCCTTTTGCATCTTTTAGAAGGTTCCACAGAGTGGTTTTTACAAATTCTCTGCTGTTTCTGCTAAATTGAATGTGAGTGTTGGAGGTAGTGCCAAAAAGTTGGGCAGATGTTTGAAATATGTGCAGAAGTGGTGGCTCTCTTAAGAAATGAAAAGAAAATGAAAGAAAAACAAAGAAAAATTGAAAGCAAAGAGAGCCACTACCAAATATCTGAATAATGCCCAGTAAGTAGTGTTTCTTAGCAGTCTGGCTTGGAAATACTGACATTTATACCTCCTTCGCTCTTGTGCTATTGAGATATTGAGTAATGCAGAATAGCAGAAAGGAAATACCGGTTTGTTTGACTGTGATTGTTTGGGTTTGGAAATGTGGAACCTTGTGCTATGAATACTTCCACCACTTAAAAGGCCTTTTCCCCATGTCCAAGACCCTAGCCAGTCATTTGAACCTGTGTCTAAAACCTCCTGATTAGTTAGTGGTGACACCCCATATGTGAGCTCTAGCATTTAGAGGCTGCCATCATGGTGAAGAGATGTTAGGGATTGAGAGAAATAGCATGCGCATTTTTCGCATCAAATTGTCCTGACCCCACTGGTCGAGAGTGAGTGATTCATTTTCATATTCTATATACTCTTGTACCCTGGTGAGGACCTAGATTGCTCGGTCTCTATTCTGATGTCATGAGTTGGATGCATGAGTTGACTGTTTTGGGTAAGTGGTTGAGTCAAGTCTAGGTTGGTTGGTGAACAGAAGGGAGACTCTTCCTTTACTCGATTTTGCTGCACTCGAATGTCCTTTGTGGTGGTTGTCCAGTTTGCTATTGAAGTTGGTCATGTATTGCTGTTTGGAAACCAGTTCGATTCACGTGTTCTGTGCCTTTATGACTTGTCCCCAATGTTTGTTGATTGAAATATGTGAGCTTACCTTGTGTCTGACTTGGTTTGCTTGGGGACAAGCAAACGGTTAAGTGTGGGGGAATTTGATAGCATCGTATTTGCACGTGTTTTCACTCGGATTTCTTGTCCATTTTGGCTCGAATTGATTGTTGCTTGGCCTATTTTACGCTAGGTTGTGTTGTTTTGCCATATTTCAGGTCCTAGCAAGTACAGAGGTGCATAGGCGCTAGTTTCAGGTCATTCGGAGGTCAGATGGCGAATCACAGAACGAATTATGGGCAGCCCCTGCCAAATTATGACCGTAATTGGTCAGGGCATGCCCGTAAAACAATTGCCGAGCCTTTTCCCCAGAATTTCCTCTCGGTGATAAAATTACGGGCAAGACTCCCAAGAATTACGACCGTAATTCCCAAATTACTGGCGGTAATTGTGAAATTACGGGCGTATCTTCTCCTCCTTCAGCTTAATTGAAACGTGCGTTTTGGGGCGAATTACGGGCAGGACGTGATTACGGCCGTAATTCAGCCCGTAATTCGCCCAGAGTCGGGTTTTTGAGGCCAGAATCGAGCCAAGGAAGGGGAGATCGAATTTCTTGAGCAAAAACAGAGCCCTAGAGAGAGAAAGTGTGAAGAACTCACCCTAGAAGCCATCTTGGAGCTGGGTTTCATCAAATCAAGCTTGGAGATCGTCCTAGGAGTGGAAATCATCATCCCGGAGCAGATTTTCCTCATCATTATGAGTATGACTACTCCGATTACTGTTTTCTTTTCTCTCTCTATGGAGTAGAACCTCTCTCTCACTTGGGGATGAAGAACCCTAGTTCTATGTGTTAGGGGATTGATTGTAATGACTTGGGATGATATTACTGTTTGATTTTAATCGAATGATGCATGTTTATTGAGTCAATTGAAGTCTGATCAACTTTTCCTGATTCCTGCTGCAATCTGAGATAGATAGAATCTGATTAGGTTGCTAGAGTCTCATCATTCGATAGTAGGAGACTGGTTATACGAGAGTTAGCCAGTTTACTGCTTTGTACTGGAATCTAATTCCAGTAGTGAATTTCTGTTCTTACTGCTTCAGCTTTCTATCCCGGTGAAGACTAGTCGTTTGCCGGGTAGTTAGACTGAGAGGGCTTGGTCAGCTTAAGAGATTCCAAGCTACTGTCGGATCTTCCGCAGTTTAATCAACAGTAAATCAGCCCAGGGAATTGCAATTGAACCTAACTAAGGAGCTAGGGGGATTCATTCCCGAGTGACTCTTTCCTGCTTAAGAAAACCGAATAATTTCCTGCTTTATTTCTGCTTTCAGTTTAAACAACAATCACTTACTCTAGTTGGCTAGATAACAGAGAATCACTGAGTAAGCAGTAGATCTAGACCCCGGGTTGATAATATAACTTGCCTGTTACTGCATTCCCGGTCTGCGATTACACTTGGTCGCAGATTGGTGTTGTGTTTTGGCGTGTCACCTGCCTGGAATAAAGCTGCTTTGACGTGGCGACACCAGATTCCTCATGATGTGTTTTAGCCTGTTAGTGATGGCCTTCGTGACTGCTTTCAGACTGACGTTGTTCAAAGAGATCTGCCGAAGCTGTGAGACAATCTCAGGGTGTTCCACATTTGGAATGAGAACCACCGTTGACTCCGTACAAGCCTCTGGGAGCTGACCTGTGGAGAAAAAGTCAAGAGCCATGTTAATTAAAGCCTTACCCACCAGTTGCCAGGATTTTTGGTAGAAGATGGCTAGAAAACCGTTCGGTCCCGGCGCCTGAAGAGGTTTCATATCCTGCACTGCCTGGAATATGTCAGCCCCAGTGAAGGGCCGGAGTAGCTGCATCAGGTCCGCATGGCTAATTCGAGGAAAAGCTCCTTTTGGCATCAAATCTTTATACTCCTAAGAGTCCTGGATAGATAAAACCACAAAAAAGTCGAAGACCATTGCCGCCATCTCCCGAGGGTCCAAAGTCCAGTCTCCATTTGGCTTCTTAAGGCTAGCAATTTTGTTTCGGCGACGTCTGATATTGGTTTGTTGATGAAAATACGAAGTGTTTCTCTCGCCGTACTGAACCCATTGCTCCCTTGATATCTGGAACCACATTAACTCTTCCTGAGCCAGTACTTGATCGAGCTCAGCTTCCAACTTAGCGTGCAGTTTAACCAATCCCGAGGCAAGATTCTGCACGAGCCTCGCCTGCACTCCTGAAATACGACTGAGCAGCCTTTTCTTCCTCTGCAAGATGCTGCCAAACGTGCTTGTATTCCAGGATTTGAGCTTTGTTGAAATATCTTTAAGTGTTGTAGGAAGGGTTGTTGTCCTGTCCCAATTATCTGCCAAAAAGCTATCAAAATCAGTGTGTGTCAACCAAGCGGCTTCAAAACGAAAGGGGCGAGTCAAAGTGTTAGAAACTCCCTGAGTGCATATCGAAGTGAGCAAGGGATGGTGATCAGAGTGGAGTCTTGGCAAGTGAGTAACCGAGGTATTGGGAAAGTGGATGTTCCAAGCTGAATTACACAAGCTTCGATCAATGCGGCTGGCTTTGAAATTACTCGACTCACTCCCTCTCATCCAGGTGAAACGAGGTCCAGAAAAGCCAAGATCGATAAGATTTGCTTTGCTGATTCTGTCATTGAAAATGTTACATCGTCGGAGAGTGACAGGAGTTGGCCGTCCTAGCCTCTCATTGGGGCTTCTATTAGCGTTGAAATCGCCCGTCAGAATCCAAGGAACCGCACTATCTGCACTTTTCTTAATGATGTGTTCCCAAAGGCTATACTGAAGGCTTGGACGTGGGGAGGCATACACCGCTTTCAAGAGCCAAGGACTATCGTTGACCTTCGAGACTAAAACAGGAGTTGTTGAAAGCAAGCTGATTTCAGTTCAACCCTAAAAACGATGTTGTTCCAACAAAGCCAAATTCCTCCTTTACGAACGTCGGCTTCAACTCTCATGATGTCGGTGAAGCCTAAGCGTCCACAGATTTTATTGGTTGTGTCCCCATTGATTTGAGGCTCGACCAGTATAAGGAGGTCCGACTTATGCACTTGAATCAGGAGCTTAAGTGCACGAATCACATCCTGTCCCTTGGCACCACCTACATTCCAAGCACAAATCTTAGCATAATGTTGAGTCTGATTCATCATAATAAAATTAAATATAGAAAAGAAAGGGAAAGAGCAAAAGGGTAGGGGCAAGGAAACGATTTGAATCATTGGGATTGCATGTTTTCAAGTCCCGTTCCCTGACTATCTTCCGTTGCGATCGCCGTAGGATCCGGCGGCGCAGGCAAGGCAGTGTCCTGATTGGTTCGGGTCCAAGCACTGATCTCTTGAAGGGTGATGATAGTGGCTCGGGCTTTTGCCTTCTTTTTCTTGTCCTTCACCGGCGACCATATCTGGAGTGCCTTGCTCGCCTGCTGCACCACGTACCGCTCCTTTTTTCGTTTTGGGTGATTTTTCCGACTTCGCGTGTTTCGTTCGAGTCGTCGTCATAGGAGTATCTGGATTGGGTGGGAAGCTCTTAGGTGAAGTAACCTGGTCCACTTCAACGATTTGAATAAGAGTTTCTTGCGGGCCTTTTACTTCTCGAGTTACTGGCAGGCTTTTAGTGGGGGAAGACGGATGAAAGGAGATGGGCTTCGTTCCAGAGACCAACCCCTCTGAGACCACTCCCATCGTGGCTGTGGAGAGATTCAGGCCTCCAGATTTCCTGGGCCCTGACTTGGGGCCTTCCAGACGCTGAGGGTGAGGCCCGAGAACACCTTTTCCCGTTAGAGATAACGGTCGGCAAACCTTCCTTGACAGTTTCTTTCCTCTTTCCTTCTCTACAGCCCCTTGATTCTTCTCTTTGCTTCGCTGATGTAATGCCCCTTTCTGGCTTCCCAAAGATCCTTTCTTAATTTCCATTTCCTTTTGAGTGGCTCCCCATTTCCCATTCTTCCCGCTTGACATTATGGCACTGTAATGGGGACTTTCTTCATTTCCATTTTCTTGTTTTCCTTTCTCGGATATCCTGATTCCCCGCCTGGATCTACGGGAGACCTGCATCCAAGGACCAAACCCGCCCTATCGTCCGCTCCCATCTCCGGTGCCGACGAGCTCTCCGGCGACCCATCCACTAAATATATGTGAGATTTAAAAGGGTTTCATCTGATATCTGGCACCCTTGGCAGTATAGGTGTCAATCGGGCGGGTTCGGGCTGGGTTCAATCGGGTTTGGGTTCAAACGGGTTACGGGTTAGTCGGGTTGCGGGTTCATCGGGTTCGGGTTCAAACGGGTTGCGAGCAAATCGGGTTGCGGGTTCATCGGGTTTGGGTCGGGCGGGTTGCGGGCGGGTCGGGTTTCGGGTTGTTCGGGCCAGCGCATCAAGTAACTTAACTCATTACTCATTACCAACTTACACATTTTATTACACTAATTTAAAATATTTTCTCAACTTTTTAACCAATTTATTTCTACCTCGTATATATATACTTTATTTTTTTGAATAAAACTAGTCAAAATGTTAAATCAATTTGTATGACCTGCAAACTTGTTATGTAATTAACCATAATTGGTAAAGTATTATAGCTAATAGTAATGGTGATATCAATATTTGCAACCAAAAGATACCGTTAATTGTTTATTTGATATTTTAGTATTAATTCAGTAGTAATTGGATTAAAGTATCTCGTTTAGTATAACCATGCAAATCTGGTATTTGGCGTGTGGTATTTGGCAAAAGCATAGTGATAAAAGGAGTTATTTCAAAATAACTCATTGCCCAAATAACTTTAGTAAACTGTTGCCAAACGAGTTATTTGTAAAATTGTTCGAATTATCCTAAAAATTGAACCATTAAAGATTAGCTATCAAATTTAGTAAAATTATTGTGACTTCAATCATAACTTACTCAATAGCATATATCCCATACACTTAGCTTTACCCTCAATCAACAATATTAAGTTAGTATATGTTGTTGATTGTATACCCTAAATCATCAATACATTATACACTAACCACATAACCTATACCCTAACCATATGTCCTTGAGTTGTGATTTTGCTAGTATAGTTAATTTAAAAGTGAAATTCATACTTTGATTTTCAAAACATAGATCAAAAGTGATATTTGCTAATTGCTATACCCTAACCATATATCCTATACTTTACACCACGTACCTTGTACCCTAACCACGTACCATAAACATAAATTAAAAAGGGATCTCCTGCCGTTAAAGACTTCAAATGACTTCAAGTGAACATATGTTAATAAAAAACTTAGAACCGTCAAAACCATCAATATCTTATACCCTAACCATATACACCCTAAACCATATGTACCTTATACCCTAACCATATACTTTAAATCCTAAACAACGAACCGTCAGAGATTACTTATCAAGTTTAGTATAAATTGTTGAACTAATGGTTAATTTATTTATTAGCCCATAAAAATTACATACATATATACATATTAGCCTTCAAAGCATATAAGAATAATTTTAGCTAGTCATGCCCTCCATATAAAAGTTAAAGATTCATATTTCAAAAGCTAAAATTATGAAAAACCAAAAAATTGAAAACACCAAATTTGTTTTCTTCTTTCTTTTCACAAATATACTAAAATTTCCCTCATTCTTTCTCTTTCCATACATTAGAAAAACTCAATTTTCCCTCCTCTTTCTTTTCCATAAAATTGAAAGAACCAAATTACCCCCTTCTTTCCTTCTACAAAAAGTTGATGTCAAAAGTTTTCCTCCTTATTTCTCTTTCATAATCAAAAAAATCAAACTTTCCCACTTCTTTCTCTTCCCACATATCAAAACCACCAAAATTCCCACTTGTTTCTTTTCTAAAAAATTCAAAGAACCAAATTTCCCTTTTCTTTCTCTTCCCAAAAACTTGAATACACCAAAATTTCCGACTTCTTTTTAAAAACATCAAATTACCAAATACATTACTTTACTTTATTTATATTTAATTGATAATTTTATTGAAAAGTTAAATTAACCAAAATTTTAATTTATATATTGTATTAATATTGTCATGATCTCAAGTAACCTTCATGTTTCAATTTTTGTAATTTTCTTAAAATACGTAATATCAAGTGAGTTTCATATTTTTTAAATTTGTTATACGAAATGAAAAAAATAATTTTACTTAAGTTTAGAATGAAAAACTTTATTTTAAAAAACTATGTATCGTATATTTTTATAATTATTCAAGTGGATTGGATGAAATTCGGGTTGAGTCGGTCGGGTTACGGGTTAGTCGGGTTCGGGTCAATCGGGTTCGGGTTAATCGGGTTGCGGGTCAGTCGGGTTGCGGGTCAATCGAGTTCGGGTTAATTGGGTTGCGGGTTAGTCGGGTTGCGGGTTAGGTGGGTTGCGGGTCAATCGGGTTGCGGGTCGGGCGGGTTACGGGTTGTTGACTTTTAGTCAATTCGGGTTGCGGTCGGGTTGCGGGTCGGGTTGATCGGGCGGGTTAATCGGATCGGGCTATGTTTTGACACCTATACTTGGCAGACCACAATGAATTGGCGGGCCCGTACCGTAGCTGCCCAGACCACAATGTTCGACCCATTTATGCTCTTCTTCCCGCAGTAAATCTGCTACTGCCAGCCCAAGAATCAGCCACAGCTAGGCTCGTAAGCCGAACGGCCCACTATCATTAACCGTGGATCCGTGGCAAGGGATTAAACGCCGTTATCACCTGAGGGAATTAAACATGGGCAGTGAACCCAAGCAATGCTTTTGTTTATTGCTTAAACTGGACAGGGCTCAATCCGTGAGATGAACTATGAAGAAGGTCTAAGGACTCCAAATCAGATAACATGTTGGCAACGGGCCTTTTTACACAGCTCATGGTTTGTTTGAACATTCCCTAGCAAACTATTTTACATCTTTCAATACCGTAGCAAACTATTGGAATTAGAAGAAGAAGAAGAAGCACACCATTTGTCCTCGTGATCAAAATGCCTAAATCCTAAGGAAAGAAGATGGGAGGGTCAGAGTATGTTATTAACATCCGCATTGGGCCTAATCGAAACTACAACTCATCAGTATAGCATCCTATATGATAAGCTCCTGGGATCTCGAAAACTTGGTCCTTGGTTGATGAAGTGGCTTCAGCTGGCGACTCCCTAACAGGGTAGAACTGTCGGAAAGAACGACGGACCGGAGGTAGTATCGCCGAGGATTTTCGATCTGCTGCTAATAGCTTGCCACATTTACTGCATGCACCAAGTTAAGACTTTCATGATCTAGATAGATTTTCATATAAACTAATGATCATAGAAAAAGAGGAGATCTACACCTGCAAACTTTGGTAAATAATGTCTGGTAGCTGCATATCCAATTCTTCAGAAAGAAAAGGAACAGGGAGGTGGAAAACAAATGCACCGTTTAGCAATTAAAATGGAGTCAATCAAGGAAGAACCAAATTTGAGTCCTGATAACCATAATATTACCAATAGAAAGTACAGGGCAATTTCGCTCCCGACTCCAAGAAAATGCTGCAAACCTATACCGGCATGCTCCTGCAACAGGTGAGCACACTTGGGTCTCAGCTTGGGAAGTTAGCATGGCTCAACAAAGTTGGCTTTATGTAGCTTTTACAAGATGTCTAACATAGAAGCTGTTACCGTGATCTGTCTGAATACATGATAGATGGAAGAACCTCTGGCGTGCATGTAGCTGCCTCCCTGCCAAAACATTAAAAAAAAAAACCCAGCAAAGCTAAGTTCAAAAAGTGAAAGCAAACAAAAAAAACCAAGTTGATGAAGGATGAAGCAAGAGCGTCAAGAAATTGGCAGATAGAGAAAGAGTGACTAATCCAATTACAGAAATCACACAAACCTATCTGGGCTTCTAAACTACTGCGTATTTATCACCCTCACACCTCTATGCTTTTCTAGTAAGCATATAGCATGAGATGCCATAAAAAGAGCAGATAGCTTGAGACAATCCAAGGTACAGAATGTCTGATAAACATGGCCCATATCTTAACCCCACAACTAGAATTAAAGAAGGATTCAACTGGTTAACAGGATATACCTCATCAGGGGAAAAGAATGCAACTGCATCTGGATCGATTGACGCAGCAGGATGCAATGATACTACAGCTCTGAAGGTACAAGGAAACGATATTTCAATAACAGAAGCCCTTTCAGAGGCAACTGCACTCTGTGGTCCTGCTCTCATTTTATTTAAACTGTGAAAACTTTGCTCTTTTGGTGATTCAATTGAATTCTCATTTCCCGAACTCGGTAAAGAAGAAGCTCTTTTCAACCAATCCCGGCGTTGGTATGTAAGAACTTTTACGTCGGGGACCTCCTTTTCCAATCTTGCTAGGACATCAGCGAGAGACTTGAAATCTCCAAGTTCGTCTAGCTGACTTGTTAGCGGTGCCTGAGGCCTACAAAGTTTCTTAGAATCTGGCTCTGTACTTTGATCTTCCGATTCATCTTCAAGGTGTGGAAAGAATCTTCTTTTCTGATCAGCAAATGCCTTAAGAGCTAACCTGGAAATCCACATTAACTACTGAAATTAAACCCTAAACACTAACCAGACCGGTGATGATCATGATTGATTTTTTTTTTATTTTTTATGAACATGTCATGATTGATTTTGATTTACCCAGTTGACACGAAAAAAATTAACTATCATTTTTTTCCACAACCCCAATTCTAGACCCTCCCGCATATCAAGTAGCAACATTTCCTTTGAAGATGTAGCACAAATTTGGAGCAGCAATTGCCCATCAACGTTAGTAATTCCAATACTAACCTGGTTCTGTCCACAGCAGATGCACCAGCTTGCCCAGCTAGTTGGCGTTTCCACGCATAAGCAACAACTGCGCCATCTGGACACACTAATGGTATATGCAAACCCCAAGAATTACCCCTAGATTTCATGGAATCGTTGAGAACCCCAGTTTCCTCTAGCTGTCTTCCTACCAAAATCAAGCAAAAAGACAAACTTCACCCTGCCTGCAATTTCTGTAAGAGCGAATGGAAATGGTAGGTATAGACATACCAACAGTGCGCAGGTCCTGGAGGTGCTGGCGCATGCTAGCATCTTCCTTGAGCAAAAACTGCAAGGTCTTGTTGCTCTGCTGAGACTGGGCGGCGAAGAACAACGCCTCGAGAAGCCGGTCACCGCCGATCCTCACATCAGCAATTAGCCGCGCAGCCTGGGCTAGCCTGTCCATGGCCAACGCCACCTGCTTTGGCGGGGCCTCGGCCGGCTGACCTGCGCTCGTACTCGGAGTTGATGCAGCTTGAGGCTCCGGCTGCTGCTGCTGTTGCTGTAGTTGCGGAAGCTGCTGTTGCTGGAATTGCATTGGGAAATTGGGTTTCACATCCATGGCGAAAATACCCTGGAAGGCAATGCACTGCTACCAAGAGGAAATCAGAGTCAATTTTGCCGAGGTAAGAAAGCTACGGGAGTCGTGATTTCTGGAGCGGTGGAAATGAGGGCTAGGTTGAAATATGGGTGCCGCCACCGCTTAATCGAACCGAAAGGACTAAATTGGATCGCCGGACCCGACTTCAAAGTTCAAAATCGCTGATTTTTGGATAATTACTAATTAGTCTAAATGGTCACAAATCTTTGTACTTTTCTACAAAATAGTAACAAAACTTTCAGTACGATTTAATATACATGTTTTTTTTTACGAAACCTGATTTCATTACAAAATAGGAGATGTGATACAGAGTTTGGACTAGGTCCATGAAAGATAAAAACTAGTCCAAAGTAAATTGGAAAGCCCATACACAAAAACCCTAACCCACAGAAACACAGAAAAAAACAAAAAACAAAAGGCCCAACCCACAACAAGCAGCACGACAACCCACAATCCTAGCATCAACATCCACAAGCCATCATCAGCCCCAACAGAAAACCACAGCCACCATCAACCAAACCCCATCCACCGCCAACCACCCTCGTCCACCACACCACCGCCGCAAACAAACCCAACACGGCCACACCAGGAGAAGAAGAAATATCACAGCCACACCGCCGCCGCCGCCAACCAAAGACCACCTTCAACAAACGCGAAAAGCCGGCGAACAACCACACCCACCGAAAAACCCACATCCGAAAAGGACAAACACTCACACTCGCCATCGACGACCCAAATCCAAGAAGAAAGCAAGGACAAAAACAGGGCACCAACCACGAAAAGCTAGCATCATCCCTACATCCACTACACGAGACAATAGAGCCACTGGCATCAAGCCAAATCCACCGAAACACTACGCCATTCATAGTGAAGCAAGGAGGAAGGCACCAAGAGTCATGAGGAGGGATGTAAATTGCAAAAGCAACTCCCTCTGCACACTAGAACCGACCTCAAAATCTGATTTATTAGATATGAAGTATGGAAGTGATATTTTGAAGTAACTTTAGAATAAATAATATGTTATAATTCTTTAAAAAAAAACGCTATGCGAGGAGCTCTCTCCTCGTTCTTCAAGTGGTCACTCCGGCTAGGTGGCTGGCTGTGCCAAATCCTCGTTTCTCTTTTACTACACAGCGTGGAGACTCAAAATGGCGAGAGATTGCGATCCATGGTGGAAAGATGGATTACTCATTGGCAAGACCAAGGTCATGGTACCCGTCGTACAACGAGACGGTCGCCGCCTATATCCAGTTTATGCTCCGGAAATCAAATGCAGATTGACAAGCTAATGATCCCTAGTAAAGGGCTTCGTAAACGGAAGAGATCCCTGTTGCGAGACGATGTCATTCCCTCGCTTGGTTCTCCCGAAATGGTCTTAAGACCTGCAAAAAGGTGCAGGTCCACCCGTCGCCTAGTTTGGAGATTTTGGCTACCTCCGCCGTCGGACGTGGTAGGCGATGATTCGCTTTTATCCACGTCAGATAGCTCTGTTAATTCGGAGGGAAGCCTGAACATGAATGCTGAAAACCTAACTGGTCGGACTTCTGAAGGGGTTGAGTCGCCAGCAAAGAAATTACAAGTATGTCCGTTTAATTTGCAGGTGGATGAGTCCCCGGATTCGGGTTCCTGCCCTACCGCCGGCAAGGCACTATGGCTGATGACGCGGCGAGCCTCTCTACAGACCCGTGTGACATTAGGGCACCGTGTGGTGGCAGTTGGTTCGCGACCCCGTGTGAAATTGGTTCGCCGTGTCGTGTCTGTTGGATCGGGATTCGTCGCGGATTGTGCGGGCTTGTTGGGCAGTTACAGCCGTGATCTTATCTTCCAGGGAGGAATTATTCCCTCGTACTCTATTGTTTATGGGAGTCCGTGTCCCATTAAACCTCGTACTCGAGGAATTATTCCCTCGTACTCTATTGTTTATGGGAGTCCGTCTCCCATTAAACCTCGTACTCGAATACGTATCTTCCCAGCACGGGGTCAGTTTGATCGAGGCCTAACCTTGGTATTTAAACCCTCGCTGACTGAGAGGTGTTCCCTATCTCTCTTTCGGAAAACTCCCTGCGAAACCAAGCCTGCCGAACCCGCGTCTCAACCTCTTCCTGGCGCCGAGTGTTCAGGTACGGGGAGAACCTTTGAGTTCTTCATTAATCCTGCGTCTTCTCCTGTTACGCAGTCTCCTTCTCTCTTTGTGTCAAGCTCTCTCGGCTCGGGGGAAGGACTGTTAGGGTGCTGTGCATCGGTAATTGACCCCACTTGTTCCTCTCATTGGCAGGTACCGTGCACGATGACCCACGTGGCTGATGAGCAAGTTGTTCAATTCTCCCTCGAGGAGGTCCAGTCAACTAGGTTTCGTGCATCGCGCACCCTCCTGGGGAGATTATTCACGAATAATACGATTTCGACGTTGGAGTTACGCGATGGTTTGCTGGATGCATGGCAACTTCGTGGTCACCTCAAGGTCTTGAACACTAAATATGGCTTGTTCGAGATTGTCCTGTCGAATGAAGAGGCAAAGAAATGGGCATTAGCTCGTAGCCCGTGGATCATCAAAGACAAACTGCTCACGCTTCGTTCGTGGGTGCCGAATATCTCCAAACACAATTTTGAGGAGATGTCTCTGGCCCCATTTCGGATCCAGCTCTGGGGAGCTAAAGATGATTGTCGTACTAAACTTTTTGGCCAAAAACTCATTGCCTCTGCGGTTGGACAAGTTCTCGACTCAAACATCTTTGCTAGTAATGAGACGAGAGAGCGGTTTATTAAAGTTCGAGCTATTATTGATTTTGCCAAGCCTCTCCGCTCATAATTGATGGCGGTCAGTGAAGAAACATATAGCTTTTGGGTGAGCCTCAAATACGAATTCCTGCCCAGTTTCTGCTTCCATTGTGGTCGAGTAGGCCATGCCCGGCGAGACTGTGTCTTTGGCCCACCAAATGGTAAAGAACGGTTCGGCCCTCGTATGTCGACCAAAAAGCTGGGTCGACAAATATATGATGATGAGGGGCACTCGATGGCGCTGGGAGGATCGAGGAGCTCGGTATGGATCAATCGCCAGCCTCTTGGTATGGTGGTAGAGACTGGACGGAAGGAGCTCAATAAGGCTGATCGATCCCAAACCAAGGGCCTGGTGAATCGGCAGTGGGATGAGCCCTTGCCAGCTGCTCGGGAAGTGGAGGCTCCCTCTCCGACGGATATGCAGGTGGAGAAGGTGACGGAGCGATCGCCGATGAGACGTCATAGTCCCAGGGGCTTCGTCATTAATCGAGCTCCCAAAGTTAAGCTTGGTGGCGGCGGGAAACAGAAGCTGATGACGCCAACGAAGGTGAAGGATGTTTTGGACCTTTTGTAAGGCTGTCAAGAACTATCTGTTTGTTGTTTGTATAATTGTATTATTTCTCACACTTTGAGTTGGATCTGCTTAGGTCCTTAGCTTTATGTAGCCTCTGTAAGTGCTTGTGTTGGTTTTCTCCGGTTTGGTTAATTTATCCATTCATGAGTTGGATGAATTAATGTTTCATCGAGTATTAGAGGTTCTGCATTCTTCTTATTGTGTTGGCCAAATTCAAATCGGTGACCATGTTAGCTTCTTGCTGACTTTGATATCCCGTTTTAAACCATCTCACGGTAGTTTTAAGTACCTCTCTCCTTTGCAAACATCATTTTGTTGATATTACTAGTTTTGACTTTTGAGAAATATACTTATGATGATGTTCTTTGGTGGCAGAAAGTATTAGTCGTCCCAAAAAGGAGACTGATGCGAGTATATGTAATCATAGAACTTTTAAGTCCATGACCAATGATATTTCTTCTTTCCTGTCACTGATACGAGACAAGTCTCTTGTGTTTCTTATGGTGGAGGGGGTGATATTGGAACAAATGGTAACTGGGAAAATAAACTGAAACCTTTTTCCAGTTATATTTGGTATTATTATGGTCGTTAGTGCAATGGGTTCATGACTTACAGTGATATTTCATTTCATGTTTCCAGAGATTGAAGCCATTGCTACAAAGTTCATGCGCTTTGCCTGAGTGCTTGTCGTGTTGGATGCTAAACCGACCAATGCAGTCAAAAGCGCGATTCTACCTAGAAGCGAAAAATGGGTAAAATCGTAAACCGTAGAATCAAAGCGTAAAAACATAAGTTTTTGACACATACTGTAAAATAACGAAAAATGTGTTAAGTACGACATATACTATGTAAAATATGAGTACACATAGTTTAATTAAGTTAACAAATACCTGTAATTCATGTCTAAACTCATAACATTTTAACAATAAGTTCATAAACATATATCTTAACCATAAGCTACCTTCCCCTCTAAGCTAGTGATTTTGGGAAGCGCCTAGTTGGTGAATTAGATTACTCTGTTGAAACTAAGAATGCACCCAAGTACTTGATATGTATCTTTTAATCTTAAATATATCATGTTTTTTGTGATTTACCTGTAACATATAAGTATTTTCGTGAATAGAATACTCCTTTGGTGAACTAGAAGCGTAAAAGTGTAAAGCGTTTTGGTGAACCAGAAGCGTAAAAGCGTAAGCTTTTAAGCTTTAAAGCGCATTTCAGTCCCGATTTTATACACTTAAGATTTTATATGGAAACAAAAGCGTTTTAGTGTTCTAGAAGCGTAAAACTGTAAGTTTTTATACTTTAAAGCGCGATTTTGACTGCATTGAAATCGACAAAACTTTCTGACCAAAGCATCTTGCGCCTCGGTGATTATCTGACAGGATATATGACTGATGTTGTGAACATACGAAATCTCTCCCTTCAGAGTTTTTGTCGAATTTCTTTGCAGAAGATTTGCTTTCTTAATTTCTTTTTGCTTTCAAGCCTCAGCTGTGATGGATGTAGTCTTGCTATAAAGACTATCATAAATTTTGTACACGTTTTGCGATCTTAGTACAGTAACTTCATAATTTTTCTGTAATCAAACTAAGGACTCTTTTTTCAGGGATTAGTCTCGTCAAGAATTTAATAATATGATTCTTTTTCTTGTTTCTGATTCCATTTTCTAATGACACATATTCCAACTTCTTTTTGCAGAACATTTTGGAACATAATGATCTCGTTGGATTTGTCGAAGCAGCCAGTTATTATTTTTTGCCATGCTTTTTCCTGTTTGATAGTAGTCACAAGTTTTTGGAGCTGGTATTGAAGACCATGGCATCACTAATACATGAACTCAGCACATCTGTTTCGTCCGGTGAAGATGATAGCGATCCAAGGCTCTCAAGTGGAATAGAAAGTATTGTTGGTGCACTCCTCCTGATAAACAGAGACGCTAAGATTCAGAGGCTGATTTGTTCATACCATAATGATATTACCCTTATTTCTCAAAGTATACAGTCTCTACTGGTAATTTGCTCTCTTTCCACATATACTCTAGTTAAATTGTTTTCTTTTCGTACCTTCAACCAAAATTTGTTCAGATAGTATTGATCAAAGAATTAAATATATTCATAATCTTATATATGATTTTATTCTTTTGTCCAAGAACCTGTGGCGGACTTTAATTTGACAATAGAAGGAAAGCACAGAGTGCAGAGTGTCTTCGGTCAACCTCAGACCATTACACGACAACTTTTTTAGGAGTAGATGCAAACAACATAGGATACATCATGTTCATTTTTGGTTTGTAGATATTCAATCTTCACAATAATGTTGACCTCAGACCGTCTTTGCTCTTGCACATGGATGCGAGGACATTACATGCCTTCATGATTCATCATATTGTTAACTTTCTGTTACATACCCTTGGGCCTTGACTGTTTATGAATTGCAGTTAGAGAAGAGTTAATCCGTAGTTCAGTTCAAACGAAGATTCTAGCATGAAAAGCAGTGGTTTCTAGCTCATCTGCAGATTTCATGCATTGTAAACATGGTGAGCTGAAGAAGATGATTCTGAATGTCATGCTGTTTGCTTTCACTTGCATGTATTTTTGGTATAATGGGATGTATATTTCATTATGAAACTATGAAATATTAGGAGATGATTATATCAAAGTTTTGAATTCTTTCATTGGTTTATATACTCACTTTGGGACTGGGTTTACGATGGATTTGCATTGTACTGGGCGCGGCCTGCTTTTCCTGGCGCCTTTCATTGGGTTTACGCATATGGAGCGGTTACATACAATTGGGACAATGAGTTGAGCGATTTATGAATTTTTCCTTATGTATATGTTTGTACCTGATTACCTGAGATAAATAATTTGCATATTTTGCTTGAGATATAATTAACGAAGGACGAATCGCTTTCCTTAGGTAAAAGCAATATGTGCTTTATCTCTTTATCACTTTAGTAAAAAATGATCAATAAGCGATATTGTTCAAACATATGTAAAAGTTTCAACGACGGTAACTTTATAATCGATTATCTAATTGAAGCAATTTTTTATTTCACATAACTTCTTGAGATTTTCATAGTAGCAATCTGCTCGCAGATTTCTAAAGAACGTTTGGGTAGCCTTCATCTCTAATAAAGTCATTTGATATCCAAATGAGCTATTTTATGATTTCATAACTTTTGACTTTCTTAACTTTACATGTATTACAACTTTTTTTATAGAAGTGTTTTCATAATATGTGCGAAAAGGTGAAATAAATATAAAATTATTCTCAAAACCCCTAAAATCCAAAAACATGTCAATTTTTGAAAAACTGTATCCAGTAAAAGTTGTAGGCCTTGAAAATTTATACAAAATAAACTTTTTTTGCAACGAACGGATGATGGAGCACAAAGTTAAAACTGTCCAAAGTTATGTGAAATCATAAAATGATCAATGTGAGGTAGCGAACGATCTTGTTTGGAGACGAAAAAGGATGGTGGTATGCAGTTGAAAATATCTTAAAATGTTATGCAAAATCCAAAAAAATTGGTGCGATCGGATTACCGAGCGCAAAGTTACTAATGTTTAATGTTTATACGTATGTTTAGACCAGATTACTTGAGACACAAGACATCTGCAATTCTGCGTATTGTTCGATTTTGACTAAAGTGACGAAGCACTGTTTGCTTTCACCGAAAGCGATATGTCATTCATTGCTTTAGTAAAAAGCAATCAATACACAGATCGTTTGTGCCTAAAGCGATCTGGTTATAGCATGTATAGTTTGAGAAATTTTTTTTGAAGTAACTTTTTTAAAATTCAAAATCAGTTGTATTCCATAAAACATTTAAGCTTTGGGGTCACTTTTGAACTACTGGCCAATATATTATGGTGTGTGGATATGTGTATTTCAAATTCATTTTTTGGATAGTTATTTGTAACTTGTTGGTATTTCAAGATTTTATTGGATTTCTTTTCCATTTTGAATTTTATGGTCTCATCTTACAAATTTTTTTAGATTATATTTAAGTGCTCAAAATTATTCTTCTAGCAATTTAGTACCTAAGTTTTAAATTTTTTTACAGGTCCAAAATTTTGGGTGCTATAATTATGCTTAGTACCTTAATATTTTTACCTTGCAATCTTACATTATAGTACCTGGAGTTTAAAAAAGTTACAAACATGTCCAATATATTGTTATGAGGGATTTCAAATCACTGGTTCTTTATATACATTTGATATTTACAAGTAATGCTCTATGTATGTATTTGAAATTCACCCCATAAATTTGGTACAAATTCAAATACCATAAGCAATTTAAATATAGATAAATGATTTTATATTTGAAATTTTAAATCCCAAATCCTTCTATGAAAATAGACCATTACATGATTCAATTTTCACATTTATCACTTATGCGTAGTTGGAAGATCTTGTTTAATTTAAGGCGTGAGTGGTTGCAGTGGCGGTGTTAGAAATCTGAGCGAGGGGACTAAAAATTTACGTTTAAGGGATTTGAACTAGGGAGGGAGAGCAAAAGTCTTATAACCTACTCTATTTTTCGAATTTGTTATGAAATTCATATGTAAATTTACACAATTCTGGGAGTTGAAGAGAGGGGGTGTAGCCACCAATAATGTGGCTCAGCCACTAACTAGTTGATAGGATCAAACTTTGCAAGTTAGACCACAAGCTAGATTTAGTTTGCTCAACAAGTCTACTTTTGAATTTGAAACAAGTTAATTCGCGAGCATAATACGACATTAAGTCAAGCTAACTTATGAGTAGTGATGAAACTTGTAGAAAAATTATAAAGCGCGTTTCTATAATATATTCCATTATGGGTGAATTGCAAGCTGGTCACTAAGAGACTAATATGTGCCACGTTTATCACTTAAATTTTTTTAATGTATTTGTGGTCATTGAAATTTGTTCAATAGTCTAAATTTGGTCACTGATTATTACTGCCAGCAATGCTTGTTGCGATATTAATGCAATCAAAGTTATTAAAGT